GCAGGCCAGCTCTGTAGAAATGCAGATTTGATAATCCCATTGAGGAAGTCTAAGGCCCCATTCATGAGCAAATACTGCCTGCATAAACCCACTCAAGACAGGATCTTTCGAAATCCCTTGGAGCAAAACTGATAGCTAACAATAGCGGAGTGATAGGATTAGAATCAGCATCCCCTCACCCAAAAAATACAACATAGGAAGTAAGCCATCAGCCACAGCCCCAGGGAAGCAGGACATGACCTTTAGGACATAATAGGATTAACCCACCACCATCAGAATACCAAAAGGGCACACTGAACCCCAGGTCAAAGTTCATGCCACAGGAACAGGAACAACTCCAAAGACAAAAGCCCAAGAAGGTATAAAAACCCACCACTCCCAGCACCATGTGGTCAGCCACCCCAGAAACATGCTGCTATCACTGAAGTTTCTGGCAACTCAATAAACAAAAACCTTCTTTCTTAAAGCAGTCTCCACTTTATTTATTCCCAGCTTGGACTGGACCCTGATGAAGATTTTTCTTTCAACAAAATGATATACCTTTAAATGTTTACATGCTTTTTAACAGCCTAGAAGCCTCAAACATTCTGAATTCCCTCAGAAAACGTGCCAGCATTTATACTACCGTTGTGCCCACTCAACTCACACACATCGTAAAACAGTCAAGTGCCAGGCTAGATAGCATTGCCTAAAAGCATTTATTGGTTTTAGCATATACTGTATATATATTTCTGGTTCTCCAGAAGCTTCCAATGCCGCAGTTAGCTTTTTTTGTTATGCTTCTCAAACGGTCCTCTTGGCTGGTTATGGAATGGGATAGGAAGCATCGTTGGTGATGCCGCATTGATTGGATCCTTGTTCCAAGAGCATGTATCCGTTGTCCCCCCAATAGCGAGACCAACTGCGAAGAGAAGCATGCAAGAGATTTATTTCAAAACCATGCAGGGCAGGGCTTGTTGGGAACTGGGCCACACAAGCGGAGGGTGAGCACATGAAACCTTATGCGTGCATGCGCGAAAACTAGGTTGCACATGCGAAACCATTACCCATCTTCCTGCTTCTGCTTCTGGTTCATGGGGCTAGAAAGGTTGGGGACTGCTGGAATAAGGAATCATGCTGGCTGAGGAATTCTGGGAGTTGTAGTCCATGTGTCTTCAAGTGGCCAAGACTGAGACACTCTGGAATGGAATGGAGTGGAATGGAGTGGAGTGGAACAGAACAGAACAGAACAGAACAGAACAGAACAGAATAGAATAGAATATGTGGAGTGGAGTGGAGTGGAGGGGAGGGGAATAGAATAGAATAGAATAGAATAGAATAGAATAGAATAGAATAGAATAGAATAGAATAGAATAGAATAGAATAGAGTTGGAAGGGACCTTGGATGTCATCTAATCCAACCCCCTGCTCGGGCAGAAAACCTTATACCATTTCAGACAAATGGCTGTCCAGTCTCTTCTTAAAAACTTCCAGTGTTGGAGCACCCACAACTCCTGGAGGCAAGTTGTTCCACTGGTTAATTGTCCCCACTGTCAGGAAATTTCTCCTTAGTTCTAGGTTGCTTCTCTCCTTGATGAGTTTCCATCTATGGCTTCTTGTCCTGCCTTCAGGCGCTTTGGAGAACAGCTTGACCCCCTCTTCTTTGTGGCAACCCCTGAGATATTGGAAGGCTGCTATCCTGTCCCCCCTCGTCCTTCTCTTCATTAAACTAGACATACCCAATTCCAGCAACCGTTCTTTGTATGTTTTAGCCTCCCCTGATCCTCTTTGTTGCTCTTCTCTGCACTCTTTCTAGTGGCCAAGATTGTAACACTCTAGAATAGTAGAGGTTGCACTCTAGTTACCCCCCTGCCAGCATCCCCTTCCCTTCACTCACCTGTTCTTCACAATCCAGTACTTGGTGCTGTTGTATCCGACCACCAGCATAGCATGAACCAAGAGGGGGTCTCCATGCCAGGGGTTTTTAAAGATACCTAGAGAAAGAGGAGGAGAAATCATATGGTAAAGCGAAAGCTCCGTGCTTCTTTGCCAGATCATCTGGATTTTGAAATAATAGGAAATACTTCTATCTATCTATCTATCTATCTATCTATCTATCTATCTATCTATCTATCTATCTATCTATCTATCTATCTATCTATCTATCTATCTATCTATCTATCTATCTATCTATCTATTTATCTTTCTGTCTGTCTGTCTGTCTATCTATCTATCATCTAGGCCAGGGGTAGGTAACCTTGGCTCTTTTATGACTGGTGGACTTCAACTCCCAGAATTCCTGAGCCAGCCGTGCTGAGGGGAAAGGGAGAGGTTTTCAAGCTGAGCCACGCTGGCTCAGGAATTCTGGGAGTTGAAGCCCACGAGTCATAAAAGAGCCAAGGTTGCCTACCCCTGACCCCTTCCTGACAGTGAGAACAATTAATCAGTGGAACTCCTTGCCTCCAAAAGTTGTGAATGCTTCAACACTGGAAGTTTTTAAGAAGAGATTGTACAACCATTTGTCTGAAACTGTATAAGCTATCCTGCCTGAGCAGGGGGTTAGACTAGATGACCTCCAAGGTCCNTCTGCCCTTGGTCTGCCAGTCCTCTTCCCCCACTCTCTCTCTCACTCTCTCTCTTTTTCTCTTTCTCTCTCTCTCCCTCTTTCTCTCTTTCCTCTTCCTCTCTCTCTCTTTTTCCTCTCCCTCTTTCTATTTTTCTCTCTCTCTCTCTCTCCCTCTCTCTCTTTCTCTCCTTCCCTCTCTCTCTTTCTCTCTCTCTCTCTCTCTCTCTGCCTCTCTCCGATCTTCTGCTCACCTGGCAAGCTGGCTTCAAGCTGTTCTCCAACAAGCTCAGGGGTAGGCAACCTCGGCTCTTTTATGACTCATGGACTTCAACTCCCAGAATTCCTGAGCCAGCATAGTTGGGCTAGCTAGCTCTCTCCTGCCCTTCCTGCTTCCTGCTTCCTGCAGAGACGCAGCCAAAGGAGAAGCCCCGCCCAGTAAGCTTTTCAGCTCCTGGGAGAAGACCTTGAGTCCACTCTCTTTTTTACTTACACACACACACACACACACACACACAGAGAGAGAGAGAGAGAGAGAGAGAAGGGAAGCTCAAGTGCCTCTCTCTGTCTCTGTCTCTCTCTGGGAGCCGCAGGGGAAGGCTCAGAGAGCCACATGCACCTCCAGAGCCGCAGGGGTTGCCGACCTGTGGTATAGACCCACACCCCTGCCTATACATAATAAATAAGTATTAAACACTGTCCATCTTGAATGTATAACGGAAGGAGGAAGCTTGAGGGTTCACAAGGTTAATGCTGTATGGAATGAAACTATGGCTGAATCTGGATGCTCTGCTACGGATACTACGGAGCCCCCTCCTCCCAGAAGGGAACAAGGAAAACCAGGTTGTGAAGAGGATGTGTGGTGTCCCAGACAATCTTACGGACCCTGCTCAAGCAACGCTTCTGCGCTATGTCCTGGATGGGAGGGAGGGAGGGAACTGCCAATGATCTTTTCTGCTGTCCTCGCCACTCTCTGCACCACCTTCCTGTCTGAAGCAAGGATGCTTCCAAACCTGACTGTGATGCCGTATGACAGGATGCTCTCCATCCTCCCTCTGTAGAAAGTGGTCAGGACAGGGGAAGGAAGATGTGCTCTTCTCATGCGCTTTTCTCATGGTTGTCCCAAAGGTGCTTTTTCAGGAGGCAACTGGGCTTTCTTTTTTTTTTCTTTGGAGAGGTTTTGCTTCTCATCTAAGAAGCTTCTTCAACTCCTGAAAAAGCACCTTTGGGACAACCATGACCTGGATGACTGAGAATGTCCACAGAGTCCTTGATGCTGCCTAAACTTGGTCGTTCGCTTGCAGATGTCTCGTTACCTTACTAGGGAACATCATCCACTGCTGGTGAGTGTGGGGTTAGCTCCCTGTTAACATAGAGTAGTTTGTCCTTGATTAGGGCATTGCTTTCTGCTTGTTTGTCTGGTGTGAATCCCTGCTTATCTGGGTGTTAATACTTACACTCCTTGCCTACGTGCAGAGATCCCTTTAATTTGGGCTTTAAGGTGACTCCACTATTGTGGCTTTTCAAAGAAGGAACGATTAGCGGTATGATTTCCCAAAGAAATAAAATCAGTTCCCACCCAGCTGTTTGTGTTGCCTTTCAAATCCACAAAGACCTGTAATTCTTTATAATTTCTTATCAAGCACTGAAGCTAGCAGATACCAAATAAAACTTGAGTTGAAATAAAAGGTAGTTTGTATGTGATTTGGAAGGTCAAGGTTTTGCCTCTTTAAAATTAGTTTTAAATTGTTGGGAATGGCAGCTTTAAGAATGGAAATTGGAAGGCTGTTGAATGAAATGAGAGAGAGGGGAGGGAAAGAGAGAGTCAGAGAAGCAGGGAGGGAGGGAAAGAAAGAGAGACAGAGAGAGAGGAGGGAGGGAAAGAGAGAGAGAGAAAGAAAGAGAAAGAGAGAGACAGAGACAGACAGAGAGGAGGGAGGGAGGGAGAGAGAGAGACAGAGGAGGGAGGGAAAGAGAGAGAGAGAGAGGAGGGAGGGAAAGAGAGAGAGAAAGAAAGAGAGAAAGAGAGAGACAGAGACAGACAGAGAGAGGAGGGAGGGAGGGAGGGAGGGAGAGAGAGAGAGAGAGAGAGTTGCTTGGAAGTTGGATAATAACCACCTGGTTTGCTTCCTACATATTGCGCTGAGCCACAATATGGATGTTTTTGGCTTAGCATCTTGCCTAAATCCAACTTTTGTGGTTTGTAATGGCGTATGGTTAATATGTGGCCTGAACCAATAGCTCGTAGGAGTTGAAAAGTTAATAATCATATCCAAATCAGGCCAGCACTGATGATGTTACCTAGTTGGGTAATGAAACGTCTGCAAGAAGACTACCAAGCTCAGAGAGCACCAAGGACCCAACCCATCATATCCTGTCTGATATGAGCCACAGTGACCTATATGCCATCACGCATGTTGGAAACGGTATCTGGGCATAGCGGCTGTTAGTTGCTCGGTTACCGACAGCTGTTGCAGGTGATGAATGAGAATCAGAGGAGTCTCAACAGCTGTCTTGTTGAAAGTTATCCGAAACTGGATTTGTATTAAACCTCAATAAAAGGGGTGTCTAACCTTGGCAACATTAAGATCTGTGGACTTCAACTCCCAGAATTCCCCAGCCAGCCCTATCATACCATTTCATGATAATCACTTCAAAAGTTTAGAACAGGGGGATCCAGTCTCGGCAGCGTTAAGATCCGTGAAGTCCACAAGTCTTAAAGTTTCCAAGGTGGGACACCCCTGTTCTATACCTTCAAGCGATATCATGAAATTGTGGGAAGTCAGCCCCACACA